TATGTCAGAGATCTCTGTGCATTAGTGGTGGAAATTCATCATTCCACAATATAACAAACTATGGGTAATTTTATTGTACACAGTCCAAGATGAAACTAACAGCACGCCATTTCGATAGAAATACATAACTTTTTTGTTTTAAAAGATAAACACAAGCTGTTTTTTGTTAAATTATTTGTAATTTCTGTTTTATATAAATGTTCTATAAATTTGTACATTTCATTTTTACAAATAACTCATATTAATCAAATGATCATGATTGTAGAAAAAAAACGTCATTTTTTGCTGTATATTTATCAAATTTAAAAAAATTGCACTATTGACTTTTTCATGAAAATTGGTAAACATAATCTTCATACGTAATCAAACCAAATGTCATTTTTAAAAAGAGGGGTCCATGAACTCGTTTTCAAGTTAAATCAGTTTGAATGATAAAGATCAGTCGAAAACTGCATCTTTTCCCGATAAGTCACAGTTTGACGTCGCGAAAATAACAATTTACGTTAGCAACGTCATTACCTCCCCTGTAACTGTATCGTATGCCCTTAAGTTAGGTTGACGCGGCGTAAAGATCTGAAGACTTATCATAAAGGGTCATGTTCGTTGACTTTTCAGCATCCAATCAAATTTTCCAATACCATCTGCATTCTAGGCATTATATTTTGTCTAGCCTTTCCGGAGTGTATAAATTAATGACTCTATTGTAAGTTTTGGTTTTTTCAGCTATACACTATATCAGAAAGACCGTGATAACCAAACTGGTTAAGTCAAATTTCACTGAAGGAGTTGTTCAAAGTCTTAGTTTTTGATTTGAATTTGCATTTTTTAAATCGGGTATCATGCTGGGCAAAAGTACCCAACCAAACGCATACAAACGTTCTTTCTAGTCTTTTTAATTGTGTCAGAAGTTAGCAAAATATAAAGACAATATAATACCTGAATGAAAGCATTGAAAGAAAGTTTCAATTCCAGTGTAAATCGTCATAATTGTTCGATGGAGACAATAATAAAATGAAAAATAAACTAAAACATAATAATATAAATAAATTCAATTCAAATGAAATTTCAAAACGAAAAGTATTTTATGTGAGTTACAAATCGTAATGGAAAATATAAACTCACATACGTATACATACTAGTCTAATTATCATTAGATAAACCAAGTGCTTAGACAGGATAAACATCTCATGTCGTTCAGTAATGGTCCGACATACAATATCAAAGTCAAACCCAATGGGATACTTGACAGAGTAAAGATAACTACCGTAGACACCGGAAAACTGTATACTCAAATTCTGTAATGAAAGTAATCTCATGTCGCTTTATGCCACACCAGTGCTAAATGGCTATATCGCGGCGATCTGACGTTTTTGTGGAGAGTCTCCACTTAAAACATGAATACATCACTCCCTGTGAATATAATAAATGATTACACAAAGCTGTAAACTTTATTTGGGCTTAGATATGACACTTTAACCATAACATATGAGAAATTGGTTGTAGTGTGAAAAACATTTATAAATTGACAATTTATATTTGTGCTTGTTCCCGCAAAATAATATATTCATTAATTTCGATTTTCTATATTAACTGTCCATACAGTTATACGATATCGATCACACAAATGTCGTTTAAAAGGTAACAAAAAAGGTGAAGGACAAACTTCAGTGACATTTCAAGCTAACGAAAAAATAAATAAAAAAACAGCTAGTTCTGACCGAATTTAATCAAGGTCGAAGCTTTTTTAAATAAAGAAAAAACATTAAACATATGAACTAGAGGTTCTTGATCTATGACAAATTACATTTTTCTAACGGTGTTTACCATAACCTTATACCCAGATTAACACCTTTATATATCCTGTGGATTTTTATGCCCCACCTACGATAGTAGAGAGGCATTATGTTTTTCGGTCTGTGCGTCCGTCCGTTCGTTTATTCGTCCGTTCGTTCGTTCGTCCGTCCGTTCGTCCGTCTGTCCCGCTTCAGGTTTAAGGTTTTGGTCAAGGTAGTTTTTGATGAAGTTGAAGTAAAACTTAGTACACATGATCCCTATGATATGATCTTTCTAATTCTAATGCCAAATTAGAGTTTTGACACCAATATCACGGTCCACTGAACATAGAAAATGAAAGTGCGAGTGGAGCATCCCTGTACTATGGACACATTCTTGTTTATTGTAATACTGTTGCTTTCATATGTAGAAATGACAGGAATCAAAAACATTGCTATCTATATTGGCATGCTCAGCTTTTTACATTGAAGGCAAAATGTTTGAAGCCTTAACGCAAGTATAAAAGACACAATTCAGAATAGTTATACTAACACCTGACAGAATAATGTCTAGAGATCAATAGAAAGTTTTATTTGATATATTATAACACTTTTGGTTTTTAAATTTAAATGTAAATAAATAAAAAAGTTACCTTTTCCTACAATCTCCTTTCCAATTATAAAAAGCCAGAAAACACCGAAGCTTTCAGTAGTGTTTCAAACCTATATTTTCAAGAAATCGAAATAGATTACAAAAATATAAGACTTTTACAGTATTCGAATGCAAAAAGACCATTACTCCTTTCATTTACAAGTGTATAGGTCTATTATGCTAACAATTAAACTATAGGTCTATCATTCTTACAATTGGGCTATATGTCTATCATTCTTAAAATTGGATTATTTGTTTATCATTCTTACAATTGTACTATAGATCTATCATTCTTTCAATTGGACTAGTTGAGTGAGTACAAAGTAATAATGAATTTAGGTTTGCTTGCTTGTTTTCCTTTGGTAGTGTTGCATACGTGTCCTATTTTGATATACGGTTTCTATGAATGTTGGCGTTTGCTTTTCAGTTGTAGTTCAGTGTTTCTGTTGTTCCGTCGTTTTTCTCTTATAGTTGATGTGTTTCCCTGAGATTTAGTTTGTGACCCGGATTTGTTTTTGCTTAATCGAATTATGACTATAAAAAGTAAAATCACAAAAATACTGAACTCCGAGGAAAATTCAATCGGAAAGTCCCTAATCACATGGCAAAATCAAATGACAAAACACATCAAACGAATGGACAACAACTGTCATATTCCTGACTTGGTACAGGCATTTTCAAATGTAGAAAATGGTGGATTGAACCTGGTTTTATAGCGCTAAACCAGCGGGATACTACTGTTGCCTTTAGTTAAGATTGCCATTGACTATCATATTTATATTCAACTTTTTTCTTAAATGTGCACGCTAACAGCAATTATCTTTGAAATTAACAGTTATTGTATTGTCTTACCTGGTATAAACTTAATTTGTTTGTTTGAAACCTGGTCGACGTTTATATCATGATCTCTTTATTTCATAAAAATAATGATTTACAGGAAAAAAAATCTTTTCAAAAACGACAAATAATTTGTACAAATACCAGTGATATCAATAAATCATTGATGTACTCTTATCGGGGGAAGTAAAAATGCTTAACAATGATCTAATTCAAATGTTAAATGTTATCCAATTTCAAGATTATGTGTTTTCCCTATTAACACTTGACATCTCTATATTATATTACCAGTATATTATAATAGCTGGTTTATTTACACTCAATACTTAATACTTAAATCGTAGGTAATATTCCCATTTGATATGAATAACAGTGTGTTTAAGCAGTATCTCATTAACTCTTCTTTCTTTTAGTACCCCATTCGTCTTTACATCTCAACATATACTAATGATGCATTATTTAAAACATATACATCATTTTAAATGTATATAGCATTTCAAACATAAAATGTTGCGTTTTGTAAAAAAAAGAGACTGTTGTGTTACCTAAAACAGTTTTGTATCTTTGGCATTTCATGGTAGATTTTATCAAGTTAACGTGTCAATCTAATTTCTGTCTTACAAATGGTTGATGCATCATTTGGTTAACAGGGGAAGTTGTGTAATCTATCCAGATCGAAATCGAAATGAAAGCAAATTTATATGTAAATAAAGTCTCGTCTTAATGGTACAGCCACTATAAATACAAATGATTTCTTTCCCTATGTAAGATTGCAAATTCAAGGACAAAGTTAAAATAAATCATATATAGCATCATCAATAATAGTTTAAAATTTACATGTACTGTATAATAACACAATTTTGCTTTTTTAATACATATTTCTAATTTAAAAGTACAGTTTTAGAAGTGAAGCATTTATAAATTTATTCATTTCGAGAATCGCCTACTTAGATTCGTCGTGCTAAGCTAGTATTACACATTTAACAGGTGTAAAGCAATGTGACTTTTATCTTTACCATGTCTAACGTAAGCCAGTAAGGAGTGTAGTCATGACGCCATGAAAATGTCACAAAATGTCAATGTATATTAAAAATACTAAAACGCAAATCCTTAAAAAAAATTGAAAAGATCAATATTCAAGCGCAAATGGGTTAAAAGTGTAATGTCTTTTTAAAAGTGCACATGCTATACCAACAGGTGTAACGTGACAACCTATGCATTCGTTAAGAAAAAGATATTAATATTCACTTTTATCGAGACTATTCGTGTTATGTATTTATAACATTCAAATGGTACCAAAATGTCTATGTAGTTGGTAATCCAGAAGGGATAATAAATTAATTAGTTTTTTTTCCATTTCAAAAAATGTTCAGAATGACACAAATTAGAGGCAACAGTAATTTATCGACGTTCATATCTGATAAAGTCTTTAAGAAGACACAAATAAAGGTAAAAACAAAAACTAGAAAAATCGCATTAACACCAAAAAAACAAAAACTAAGGGAATCGCATCAACATAAAAAGGAACGAGCAGGATAAGCGTCACCCGCCATGCGAATTAACTCTTAAGACATGTAAGAATCGGGAACTTACCTAAACCCAAAATTAATCCCTCGGATACGATCTCGGCATCTCCATCCTAGTTCATTAAGCAATGTCAATTTCTGAAATTCCTTGTTAATTCAACATACATATCTATTTTACAAGATTGTGAATAATTTATATTCCAGAAATAGAAAATGGCTGTGAAAGTGAGGAATCTACTGATGTTGATTGTCGCGGTTAACATTCAAATAGTTTGCAGTTCAAATAGAGTTACAGGTATATATAAGTCATTTGATCTATGTAATTTCAAAAACCTATCATAATCGTGTTTTATATTACAACATTTAATCAAAAGATACCACCTAACTAGTCGACTTAACGAATGCCCTTCAAGCTTTGTCCTACGATCCAATTACTTAATCGTGAAAGAAGGCAAAATATGGGGTAAACCGTTATAAAAGACATCCATTTGATTCACGATTTAGTGTGGCAATTGATGTTATTGTTGAAATAAGCAAATACATGATTATTTGCGATCCAAGGAAAATTCCTGCAATAAGAATTGCAATGTTTGGCTTGCACTAGACGTACCCATTTTTTCAATCATCACAGTCATTCACTTGAACCATGCTTGTTTATCGTCTTAACGCTACAATATGGTTCAAAATTACCCTGGTAAATTGCAAGATGATAAATACATTCGCTTTACAGTATATCAGTTATCCGGGGTAGGTTTATTCCTATCATTTCTTCAACTGATTGTCGTAAGATGTAAGGAATTTATAGAAAGTGGTGTAAATACACTTTAAATGAAACTGAAATGTTGAAGCTAACTACACGGTATGGGTTTTGATCATTGTTGAAGACCATGCAATAACATAAAATTGTCACCATCTTCGTCCCCTGATCTTGATGATAGAGGTATCAACGGCAATTGTACAACATGTCTTTTATTAAATATTGTTGCAATAAAATTGAATCTCGATTGTAAGGCAAATAAGTCCCTTACTCAAAAACTGTTATTATAACTTTTTTTCAGATATTGATATGTCTATGAACTCGGATACAGAAACTTATCAATATTCCAAAGAATTCCTTAAGGCGTTACATAGCCTGGAATTGTACATTCAACATGAGTCTGATAAACTTGATGGCTTAGACGATGATGAGACAGATATGCAGGAGAACGATACGATAGAAGATCAGAAAAGACCATTCGTAGGAGGAGGCACGACAAGAGGATACAAACTGGGAAAACGAAAAAATCAACTTTATGACGAAAATAAACAAGATAAGAGCATAAAATCACTTTTGTCAGAAGTTAATTCATTTGAAAAAAATATTCCACGTGATGAATACCAATTTGCAGACGACAGTTATAATGATTTTCAAATCATTCAGGATGTAAAGCGACCATTTGTATTAGGAAATTTCAAATTTGGGAAGCGGTCATCATCTCAAATACACCAGGAAAATGATGATGCTATGTATTTCGGCGAATCAGACTACAACACTGAAGAAAAAAGGCCTTTTGTATTTAAAGGGGGTTTTGATAAGAAAAATAAACGCTTAATAATCAATAGCAGACAACCATTTGTCTTACATGGATTTGATTTTGTAAAGCCGAGAGCTAATACTGGAATCTTATCCAATGACTTAAAAAGACCATTTGTATTCACTAGTGGATATAATTTTGGAAAACGGCAACAAGAAAATGACGTTTTTCTTGAGGAAAACAAAAGACCATTTGTCTTTAGTGGAAGATATAAGTTACAAAAAAATGGCATATTGCATGACCAATCTTTAAATACCATATCACCTAAAGGAAGGTATGAAGAAAACAGTCACATTGTGAAAAGACCTTTTGTAATGGGTGGTTATAGAAGAAATGGGAAACAACCATCAGTCATACATCAAAATTTTATTGGAAGGCATCCACTGTTTATAGGAAGTGGTTTCCGTTTTGGAAAGCGAGGACATTGGGAAGGACAAGAAGATGGGTTACCTGGCAATGGCATACAATTATTAAGGCCTAATTATCAAGCTAGTCTTTCGGGAATTGAAGAAAATATACAGAAATCCCCATTAGTTTTAGACAATAGTTATCCGGTAGATAAAATACCATTTGTTATATATGGTGGCTATCACAGTAATATAAAACGACCACTTATTTTTAGGAGTTCATTAAAACAACGAGATACACCACATCCAGAGAATCGGAATAAAAAGCGACAACATGCTATGCTATTTCAAGGAGAAAGTCAATCGTTTCCTCTTGAAATTATACCGAAAGAACCTTTTGCAAAAACCCCAGGAAAAATATTTCCGGACATACCAAAGCGATCATTTTCTTTTCGGTATGGTTATCACTTTGGTAAAATACGAAATGAAGCAAAGTCTGATTTTAGAAAGCTACCGTATGACCAACAAATGCGTCCTGAAAAATCATTTATTTCGAATAGTCCCGACGACAGTTTATCCTTTCAACCCATAAAGCGACCATTCACGACCAGTGGCAACTATAAATCAAGAATTGGAAAAAGACCGTTTGTCCTAAGCGGACGTCGAATCGGGTATAAATTTGGATAGTAATTTCTTAATTTACGAAATCATTCAATTATATATTGCTGGTTTAAAAAGAGAGAACATATTGTTTCTTTGATGAAAACTTACATTTGTTGTCTTTTGCATAGTCCAACGATGCAACAACGACAATGAGACTTCGTTGTGGAGATTAATACTTATATTTGGCATTTTCAGTCCAAGCACAATCAATAGATACGCCTTATCTCCTCTTTGTGTACTTGTAATGATTTCCTTGTAATAGTATTGTTATTTTATATTTAAAGAAATTAATTTTTATAATTATGCTTGTAAATATTAATCTGTACATATAGTTTAGTTTGTTTTAAGTGTAGCTAATATTCATGTGCTAGGTGCATACGTGGACTTTTGAATTGTCCGATTTTTTGACTTGTTTGAATATTTTCTGTATGCAATCGTTGTAGAATTTTGTTGTCGATATTATAGTGAAAAAAGGAATACACTCATAGTTTTACTTATACTACATTTCTTCAACTTCATGCAGTTTCTGACACCACTAGCGTGTTTTTTCTTATCTCCATATCAGTATATTTTAATATTTAATAAACCGGAAAAAAACTGCATTCAGTTTGGGACAATGATTTTTGCAGACTTTCTCTTTATCATTTGTTTCTTTTTTTGATCGTCATGATATGTAAAACCCTATACAAGAGAAATTTATTATGGTAAAAATTTAATGTGTTTGTACTACGATATTTAATAGCTGTCACTAAATCTCTTGTTCTGCAGTCTATCTTGAAGAAAATTTATGATCTCTGCTGTCTCTTTTTACTTCGTCAATACTTGTCTAAATGTTCTGACACATATAGCTTGCCATTTGATTTGAACGTTTCTCTTATTTTTGAATGCCTTATGCTGACTTTTAAATGTCTTATTTTTGCGAAATTTGCTGAGGTAGATTGCTTTCTCATTGGTGATTACACAAAGGTATTTGGTCTGAAATTCAAGTTTTTTTCTCAATATAAGAATAAGGAAATGTGTTACGATTGCCAATTGGAGACCAATTGGCGAAGATGGAAACAACTATAATAGGGTCACAGTACAGTGTAACAGCACACCCTAGCAACAAGCCGTAAACTAGTTGGAATCGGCTCGACTCATCAGATAGATACGCACGATGAATAAAACAAACTAACAAAAACGACAAAAGACACAAAGTACCGATATAAGTGTCTCGCAGTTACTAAAAGCTAATTCAAAACAAAATATGAATATGTTGTATGATTGCCAATGAGAGAACAATCCACAAGAGACCAACTGACGTAGATGTCAGCAACTATAGGTCAGTCAACGTACGACCTTCAATGAACAAAAACCCATAGAAAGCTATGAAAGTCCCTGAAATGACAAAATTTAAAACATCGACGACCTCATTTATGCACAAAACAACAAACGAAAAACAAATATGATATAAAGTAACAAACAATAACTATTGAATTACAGCCATCTGATTCGGCACCTACAGAATTTTGCAGGGTTAAAAATGTTTGTGTACAACCAACCCTCCCCTTACCTGGGACAATGCTGTAACAGCACAACATAGAAACATACTATAAAAAAAATCAGTTGAAAAGGAATTGACTTATCAGATCGATACAAGACACTACTCACTATATCTTACAGACTAATGACCTATCTTAAAATATCGTTATGTTCTAGATTTTCTTTTAACTAAAGTGGTGAACAGTGATTTATCATTCAGTTTGTCTTTACCTATCAACCATGACGGTACTTACTCCTTCGGTCAAAACGTACCTCAGGTTTTGGCTATACTTTTAAAGCAATTTTCCACATTTTGTTCTTGATGTTCTTAAAGGTTGTATATTTTTGCTTTCCAAACTTTGGGATTTCATCGTGACTAATGAAGGTTAATCCTCTGTCAGACATTTTGTCAGACACCTTGGTATTCAGTATCAGACGTTTTATGCAATCGACATACAGTGCTATTGAATTCTTTTCGGTTCAAGGTAAATACTTTTATCCCTAGAATATATAATTAAACAAAATCTAAGGTGTATTAATACGGATAATTGTTTCAAAGGCATTGAAAACACTGAGGTCGTTATAGGTCTGTAGAAATTCAAACGATTTGCAAATCACAGCCACATTTTGAAGACAAACCTCAAATCAATTTCGTTTGTGTATAAATCATATTACATAAATTGTATGACAAGGAAATTAGGTATTGACATATTTTTTGATAAAAGGAGATTAACCCAACAATTGCTCTGCGAAATTTCTTCAAAAACATTAACATGAGATTAATGACTTTAACTAGCTGTTTGACTTAGATTAAAATTTGGTCTAAGATGTTCCTTTTTTTAATCCCGCCTCATGCTCATGTGCATCTATAAAGACATAAAACGTGCCAGTGATTCTCTTTTGTTTAACCCGCCAAATGTTCAAGTGCTTGTCCAAAGACAGAAAATTGGTCTGTAGCTGTCTTTTCATTAATCCCGCTACATGTTAAAGTGTTTGTCTAAATTCAGGAAACAGTTTAATGGTTATCGCTTGTGTAGTCCTACCACATGGTCATGTGCTTGTCCTAAGACAAAAAGGTTGTTTGTGGTTTTCTCTTGATTAACACACCAACATGTTCATGTATCTGTGAATTCCAGAAAACTTGTCAGTGCTTGTCTTTCGTTAAATCCCTCCACATGGTCATGTGCCTGTCTAAAGCCAGAAAACTTGTCAGTGCTTGTCTGTTGTTTAACCCCACCACATGGTCATGTGCCTGTCCAAAGACAGAAACCTTGTCAGTGCTTGTCTTTTGTTTAACCCCGCCACATGGTCATGTGCATGTCCAAAGCAAGAAAACTGGTTAGTGCTTGTCTTTTGTTTAACCGCGCCACATGGTCATGTGCCTGTCCAAAGCCAGAAAACTTATCAGTGCTTGTCCTTTGGTTAACCCTTTCACATGGTTATGTGTCTGTCCAAAGCAAAAAAACTTGTACGTTATTTTCTTTTGTTTAACCGCGCCACATGGTCATGTGCCTGTCCAAAGCAAGAAAAATTATCAGTGCTTGTTATTTTGTTTAAACCCGTCACATGGTCATGTGCTTGTCAAAAGACAAAACTTGACAGTCGTTGTCTTTTGTTTAGCCCCGCCACATGTCATGTGCCTGTCCAAAGCAAGTAAACTTGGCAGTACTAGTCTTTTGTTTAACCGAAAACTTGTCAGTGCCGTGTTTTTGTTTAACCCCGTCACATGGTCATGTGCCTGTACAAAGCAAAAAAAAACTTGTCAGTGCTTTTTATTCTTTTTTATCCCTCCACATGGTTATGTGCCTGTCGAAAGCCAGAAATCATGTTAGTGCTTGAAAACTTGTAGTGGTTGTCTTTTATTATCTCTCATTTTTTTAGATTTTTTATTTGGTGGGGTTTTATGTTGATTTGGTTACAGATCATCGATCGTTTCCTATAAGAGATCACTTTATCAATACATTGTATTATCATTGAAGATAATTGGCGATGTAATTTGAAAAGATCGACAGGTCTTTAAGATATTTTGAATAATCTCCGATATTTTATGGTAGAAATATGGCATAAATTGAATTTTTCTACTACAAAAATTGAATATTTGTAAGTTCATGTTCAAGTAGATGCAAGTAACAACAACATATTCTCAAGAAATGTGTTGCTCAAATAGACAGAGATCGTGGTAAGTAATTGTGTTGGTACCGGCATTTTTTTTCATGTTTGCAAGTCCAAAAGCCAGATGAAAATTGGCAAAATTTATTCATTTTTCATGACTAGACGTAGAAGGGGCTTTTCATAATGAAATATCAAATTTAAATAAAAAGGAGATTAACCCAGCAATTGCTCTATGAAATTTGTTTCAAAATAATTAACATCTTTCTACATATTCTTAAATTCTCTTTTGATATCTTAAGAAATTTTGGATATCAAGGATCGAACTCCTCAGGAAAAAAGGACCTCAGATTTATCGTGTCCACTGGACGTGGACGTGTATATAAACAGACGTCCCTCAAAAAATGGGTTTTGCTGGCAGGTAGCAGATTTCGAAGGATGACAAAACATATAAACATCAGTCAACCTTTATCGGTCTAACACATCACCGGGTAAGGTTGTTACTCATATCTAAACAAGAATGACACCATCTCAAATGATGTAATTCTGGCATTTTTTGCAGTTTTCCTTTCAATGCAAAAAGTTTGAAAACCTAACTAATATACAAGACACTAACAGTATTCAAAACACTAATTTTTGTTGTATTATACATGTTATATAAAATGTTTAATTATTCGAAACGCTAAGGGTTTCTACACCGCAGGTATAGATTGCGTTAGCCGAATTTGGCACAACTTTTCGGAATTTTCTGTATTTAAAGCTCTATAATTTCGTATTTGATTTGGCTTACCAACTGTTTTAATTCGAGCGCCACTTATGAGTCTTATAAAAATAATGAGATGTGGCGTGAATGCCGATGAGACAACTCTCCTCCAGAGACCAAATGACATCGAAGTTAGCAACTTATGTAGACGAAATGCGCGTCAGGCGTACAAATTATAAGCCTTGTATCCTTGATTAGTTATTAGCTTTCCAAACTTCCTAATCATCATGACTAATTATGGTAATTATTGGATGAAACACTTGTTATACTCGCCATCATACGTTTTTTTTTTTACAAAAACCAAATTGTTTTATTCATCAAGTCTCAAGATTTAATACGTTTTCCAATGATAATGATAACTATGGTGTATTTTTACAGATCATTATTTAATCAAATATTAGTAAGTGGGAAATATTGAACTGATGTAAGTACCAACAGCATAATAAAAAGAGTTCTTGTTCAAATAAGCAAACATCGTGGTAAATAATAATATAAATACTTGCATGTATTATAGATTGGCCAACCAAAACTGTGTTAAAAATTGACCAAATATCTATCCATTTTACACGAAGAGGCGTAGAAGTGGCTTTTCCCTGACTTCTCAACTAAATTCATCGCAAACTACTAAAGAGACATTCATTATCGAAATGCGTATCTGGTGCAGAAAAAATTGGTACCGTTAATGTTGTTACTACTTGTCTTGGATTTTGTATTACCTTAACTTCAAAAAGACTTACATTGAAATCTTGTTCATAATACCCTGTCGTTAATTCTACGTCAATCTTTAAAGACCCAAATGTTGCAAAACACTTGTCCTACCTCCATGACAAATATGTTGTTGTCCCCGCAGATAAAGCCCCAAACAACTTCGTTTTTGTGTGTAAATCACATTACATAAACTGCTTGATAAATGAATTAGGTATTGACAATTCACTTGGAAACTCAACATATATATACCCCCACGACACTTACTAAAGAGGAAATCCTGGATAATCATAGGTCTGTTCTATGTTCCTTTGGAATTTCAACCAAAGATGAAGAACTGGATCTTTCATCACTGTATTGGATACCTAAACTACATAAGTACAAACAACGGTATATTGCTGGGTCTTCCAAGTGCTCCACGAAACCTCTTTCTAAATTATTAACATCAATTGTATCAGCAATCAAAGCCGGGCTTCAAAGTTATTGTGAAATTGACTATTCCAGAGGTGGCGTGAATCAGATGTGGATACTAAAAATTCAAAAGATCTTTTAGAGTACATACAATCTAAGACTCTTTCATCTTGCAATAGTAATAAAACATTTGACTTTTCTACACTTAACACAAGTATTCCCCATTCCAAACTAAAAGACAAATTGAAAGAGTTGGTATTGATTTGTTTCATAAAAAAAAATGGCCAACGTAGGTACAAGTATTTTGTCTTAGGGAGGGATAAATCCTACTTTGTAAAAAAATCACTCTGA